ATCCGACTATTGAAAAATCAGGGGGGTAACCATGACATTCAAAGTAAGACTGTTTTAATCTTACTTAAGTCATGGTTAGCCCCAGCCCTTAGTGTAGCTATTTTCGACAATTAACAAACTTATATATTCAATGTATTTCGTAGCATACCAATAAAAACATAACACTGATTACAAATGAACGATTTTACCTCTTAATTTAATCTCAAATTACTTAATTAAGCGCACACCAATTTACTTGAAACCCTTAAGAGATCACCTTTCATTCCGTCAAAATATCGACCTACAAACCTACATCTGAAGACATTGTGCTCAAGATCAAACAAGCAATAATTGAAAGCTTTCATGAGACGTTAACAGGTCGGTATTAGGTATACATAGGGCCTAATACAAATCCTATTCACGGTAATACTGCTGACCGCCAATATCAAAAGGTACCTTTATCAATTCATATTGCCGAAGATCCTATTGAAACATGGAATAGGCCCCATTTATATCACTAAGCCTCGTACTGAATAAATTATTTTATTTAAATCCCGCCAATAGTCAATAGACCTTTATGTATTGGCGATTTTATAGGGATATGCTATTATGGCGTATTATGGCATCTGAGTTTCTCTTATATTTTGATTTTTAAAACACGTTTGCTTAAATGTTCTTTATAGCATTGTTATAATATTGACTTTAACGTGAACATTACAAATTTTGATTAGAAATAATCATATTTACAGATAATATCTACTTAAAAGCTAAAATAAACTACTAGGTATGTATATTACTTTACTACCAAAATGCATGATACAGTAAAGTTGTATAATATAGCAGAATGCGTATTCATTTAGAAATATGGAACATATTACTAATATATTCATATAAACATCAGCTACAACATTATTTAAATATTCATTAACCAAGCAATTGAAATCCTATTACCCCGTAATAACGTCACTTTTCCCTCCAACTTAAAAAATACATACGAAAATCCTAACAAAAATCAGAGCTAAAAGTTATAATACCGTGGTAGGCAACTAATCTCGTATTATTGAAGCCAAAGAAGTGAGAATATAGAATATGAAGCCTGACATCTGTTTTCAATCGTTTCCCGAGCTATAGCTCCTTAGCCGGGTATACCCGGTTCGCGTACGTGTATAATTTATTTGACATTTAGCGTAGTAGGGTGTGTATGCTAACAGAGTTCACGTTACGCCCGTCGCAGTACCTACTCCATGCCAATCCAGTTCATAATTTACCTGAAATGAAAACTGCATGCGATTGGCAAATATTTATTTTATTGTAGCGTAGGTTTTGTAGACAGAGCGTTCTCATACTTTAAGTGGGGGAGAGCCATGCTTTATGACCGGAGTGATACAACGGTTTTACAGAAAAACGGCGTGAAATAACTACAGAGTTATGTGACTGAGGGTATCGGAGGCCCAATCCCTGTCATTCTCCAATCCCTTCCCAATTCCCAAACCTTCGCAACCCTAATCCCCAAAACACCGGCTACTTAAAGGGCTACTATTATAGTATTACAACTATTATACTACGACGTCAATTCTATAAAATTTATTTAAATTTTGATCTTGTTCGAGTGTGAAGTGAGCGTTGAAGTGACGGGGAAATTACATTATAATTATGTAGAATGCCACTTTTAACGTCATCTCATACTTTATCTATCAAAATGTTGCAGTCAATTTAGTTCAACTCGCAAGTGTAGCGCTAGTGCGCAAGCGGATTCAGATTCGAAGTTTAGAATGAAGTCTTACAGAATCACACTGCTTCACTAAGTAGGTACAACTCGTATCTACTAAAAAGAATACACTAAAAATACATGCCAGTATTTCTTGCTAGACTGAGTATAGGCAGCAAAATTCAGTTCGACGTAATATTTACTTTATTTAACGAAAATGTTAAGAAAAGATCATACTCAATATTTTTATTTCCAATCGATAGAATATCGTACTCAACTACTTATCTATTTGTTTTTTTTCTAAATATCAATTATACCTAGTCTGTTTTCACCACTTAATTTTCATACTAGCTACTGCAGCGCAGTTTCACTCGCTGCTCGGTTGCTATTGGTTGCAGGGCGATATTTACCCAACCTATGTAGCACTCAAGAACATTGAAGATATCTACCTATATAGATAAGTGAAAAAATTGGAAACCCGACCAGCGTTGAAGCGGTCCCAACGATTACATACTACACAACTTCTTTATAATACTAGTTTAGACAGGAGTTTTAAAGAACCACAGAATTTATGCTGTGTGGCAAATCAAATTGTACTAACAATATATGAGGTAGGCCTTTAGACATTACTTTTTACATATTTAGAACAAAGTCAAAGTCAAAGTCAAAGTCAAAATCATTTATTTCAATTAGACCCATACAGGCACTTTTGAACGTCAACACAACTTTAAAGATACAAAGTGTCAGTCTGGCGGTCAGTCCTCTTAGTGAAGCTATTCGCTCGTTCCAAAGTGTAGATTCCGATGGAGAAGAACGAGCAAGAAACTCCATGGTTACTCTTTTAAAATCAGTGTCACATAAACAGTCTTTGATACATTATTTAGTTGGTTTCAATATGTGAGAACAGTGTAACGCGTGTATACAGAGAAACATAAAAAGAAAATAACCTTAAGGACAATAGACAGTCCGGAGCTGACCAGTCCCAATTGACGGCGCCCGTTCATGAGCATGACACGTACACCAGCATCGCCCAACTCAACCATAATATAGGGAATCGAGCGATCCAGTGACCGTGCCACCGCCAATGTGACCTTTGAGTGAGCATGACAACTCCAAGCTGACATAAGGACCGACATTCTGCTAGTCTAACTAATTTTAATAGGTTACAGGGCACTAACATTCACATATTTATCAAGTTTAACAATAAAAATAGCATGATTACAAATTTACAAAATCTAAGAACTTCCGTTCAAGCAAAGATCTACTGGAACATTATTTATATTCGTGTAGGTATATTATCCTGTGGAGCAGGACCAGCCCGTCTCCAAGCATCCAACATATACACAATATACTAACTCATTGATCTGTTCTCTAAATTATTATCGACCAACCGGGATGGACTATAGTGTGCGGTCATCAATCACAATTTACATCGGAGAGTTAACAAACAATTTAAAGAAACCTTCATCACATACACATCACACCGGCCTTTAAGTCCACTGTTGAACAAAGGCCTCTTTTCACACAGAATAGGTTTGAGCATTAATCACCACGCTTCATCATCAGCCTATAAGTGCCCACTGCTGAGCAAATGCCTCTTCCCACACGGAGAAGGTTTGAGCATTAGATAATCACCACGCTTGCTCAAGGCGGAATTGGCGGATTGGCGAATTCAAACTTATAATTTGGTATTATAAGTCCAGGTTTCCTCACGATGTCTTGCTTCAACGTATGTGATTATTGTCTTAATAATCATAGAAATGCTATACATAGAACTCTGAAAAAGTCACATTGGTACTTGCCAGATTTCGACCCGCACCCACATGCTTGAGAAGCCTTAAGTTACGGGCCACCACGACTATTAGAAACTATAAATAAATCTTATTCTGTACTAATAGTTCCGTTCTATACATTCAAATTCTATGAAACAAATGTTCTACAGGCACTGCTTCACATCCTTTCACAGAAAAAAAACGCGGTAAACTAGTCACATTGAGTAACTTGAAAAATACAACCTAATTCCGTACCTACCCGTACTTTATTTCAAGTTATAGTGCGGTCCCTGTTCGAATACAGCCCCTATTTCTCTAGTGTTGTAACAAATGAATAAAAAACTGACTACACGAGCTGTGGAAAAAGAAGATTTTTAAAGTTTTATTCTTTCTTTTCCTATTCTTCCTTTATTGCTTCTTCATTATTTAAGATTATATATTATTAAGACATTTTATCTGTCGCGTCAGAAAAGAGCCCTTATTCTTCAAATTAAAATTAACTAATATTATGAACTGAACATGAAAGTTACTAGTTTTGGATAAATGTTTGTTTTTCTAATAACAGTTGGACTACTTTTTAATTGCTATTGTGAGCGAAACCATTAATACATAGAACTGTATGAATACCATACATTTTACAAAAGAAAATCTTTATTTTAAAAACACCCTAATATTTAAAATTTTCAACTGTCTATGACATTAGGACCTAAAAAGCTTACGTACAACATTAAACGTTTTCATCAATTAAAGTAAAACAGATGAGAATTATTTGAAAAGCAACAAATTCACACAAAGCTGACCGTTCATAGTGCCTTAAAACTAAGTAAACAGGAGAATTCTACAATATCATCATCTTCATCAAAAGTCTACAAGTGCCCACTACTGAGCAAAAGCCTCTTCTCCCGTAGTGAAAGAATGACAAATAATTACCACGCTTACTCAAATTAGATTGCCGTTTTCAAATACATAATTTATAAATTTCAGATTTTCTCACGCCTTAAATAACCGCCGTATGTCTAAATAATCTTAGAAAGCACGTTTAATTCGTTTCAAGTCATATTGATAGTTGCCTGATTCGGAATGCATACCCTTGAAAACTACAAGAAAAGTGGATACTTGGAACGTACACCCTCGTAGGTTCATAAGAAGCCGGTGCCTTTACATGTGGGCTACTACGACAGTTAGATAATACGGAGAAATAGTTCAACAACAATTTGCTAATATCTATTCACCACTTTTTGCATCTTTTCAATCTAACACCCCTCCTAATCCACCACTACCCCGTTTTACCACTACCTGTGTATTACCTTTACTACCTGAGTAATGCTTTTCAGAGAAGAGCTAATTCTTTTGTTACTAACCTTAATGGCGCCTTTGTTAAAATGAAGGTCTAACAGCACTAAAGAATTGCAATAAGGAAATAACCCTTCAACCATAGTGAATGCAGATTACCATATAATTAAAACACCCTTATAAATATTCAGCTATCACTCTTTTGATGTTTCTCTCCATAAATAACCTTTTGGGTGTTTTATAGAATTTTAATACCACGCTGGCACCACGGCAGCTTCGGTAGGTTCCTGTTTCAGATCCGGCGGGAGGAAACGCCCGAGTGGTGTCATTTTGTGTCCCCAGGGAAGTGATTGGCGGTGGCACCAGGCCTTAGTCGAGGCCATGATGCAGAGCGAGAGGAACTGGCTGAGAAGTAATGGTCGAAAAGAAGAAAAAAACGCTGGTACCACGACCTGAATAATACCACGGCCTTACAGGGAACTGCCGTGAAACCATGTGTGTGTGTGAGATTGACCAGACCAGAAACTCAATCTTTCTCACCATCCCCAATACCCGAATCTTCACACTCCTAACTAAAAGGCAGGCAACGCATTTGTAACTTTTTTGGTGTTACGGGTTTTCATGGGCGATTGTTTACCAGCAGAAATTGATGATGTTGACGACTAAATAAAAATTTGAACGCTGAATCAGTAATCGTCATTCAGTTCCATATTTGGATTACTTTTATTTTAGAAGTTTGTAATAAATCTGACTCGTAGGTCAAATGTCTTTGTACTTGCTTTTTGAAATGATGGCATGAATGGCTGCAAATGTGTCCATAAGACCGGATCTTTTTTTAGAGGGAGGAAACTCATTATATGCTGTATCTCGCCCTGGATGGTGCAAGGGGAGTGTCAGTTCCTTTTTCTGCTCAATTATGACGCTTGCACCCGCAACCTCCGGCTAGTACATATTATTTCTTTGCGTGGTATTTTTTCATGTTGTGTAATAAATAAAGCAAAAACATTTCAAGTGATCATTAACATTTATTACAATAATAATGGAATGGTCGGTGACATCACAATTAAATAGTTAGATCACAGTGTTAAGTTTAAACATACAATAGGTAAACTTAAATAAAATGTTTAAAAGTACAATTTTCCATTTATCAATTCGGTTGGCGGTGATTACCTCTCTGGGGCGACAAGTTCGTCACTGTTGTGGGTACCCCCACATTTTTCACAAACAATCAGGAAATTCTGAAACGATAAAATTAATATTACTTAGCGTATTTATTTAATTTTTGTCATTCAAAATTGCATGTATGTCTCTAATTGCAATAAATCATTTTGAATATATTCGCTGGTCTTCGAATATATTTAACATTTTGTTTTAAAAATCCTCATTAATAACATGAAACAAACGAAAAAACCCAGTCACAGGAAGTTTAATGTAAAAGAACCACTGCTTCCTTTTTTAATCTATTTTATCAATTTGCACCAATTTATAATTCTTTAAAAATGAAACTTAAAAATACTCACCAAATTATACTGAAGCCTTAACAGGTCCATGATCTTTAATTCGTCGTTTTCGTTTGTCTGTGAGAATTTTTGCATCAGTCGAATCTGCTTCTTAACTAGTTGTTCCAACTCACAAAGGGTTTTGGGCTCCCGTGGCAGGGCGGGCGGCCGGTGGCTGTATCTCCAGTTACGTGCCACACGCTCTCTTACTTCCCGAGCTGGCTGTTCTTGAGACTCATTAATCTTCACCATTGTTACTTTAAAATTGATACACTTAGTCCTGAACCTCCTCTTTTAAAGGGAACTAACTCATTAACGAGTATCAAGTAAATACCTAATTAACTAATTCACAAGAACAACATTAAGTAATTGATTTGAGAACACTTCACAAGCAGAATAAACAGTACTCACTCAAGACCACGACAAGACTGATGAAGATTTTGCAGCTTTGCAAAAATACGAAAATCACCACGTGCAACAAAAGGGTTGAAAACAATAGATAGCCATTAAAGTCATTTGTTGGAAATATAATAGACAATAGATTAAGTGCATTTGTTGCATACCTGTGACCGCTGAGGAACCCCTCGCCCGCGTCTCAGGTAGGTCCTGTTACTGTTGGCCATCGTTCATTTGCTGCAAGTAGCTGAACGTGTTTAGTAGTCAGCGATGGTGAAGATACCTGAATGGGACGACCGCGACGCTAACCATCGTACGGAGGAAGAGTCCTGGGAGGAGATCTGTCGACACTCAAACCAACACAACACGCCAATGACTCTGATAGAGTTAGAAGAATTCGCCGAGATCTCATCCCATTTGATACCGCCTACGCCTAACTGTACTAACCAACAACGAATTCAAAAGGCTATGAATAAACTTCGAGAGCTTTACAATCTGGTAAGAACTATTTATTATGTTTACTTGTTCTGCATTCCGTGGTGGTTATAATTATTTTATGGTATTTACTGGATAACTAGAAACAATAGTCAAGAGAATAAGGATTGGAATTCTAAGTCAACAGATATATTAAATCGTAAAGGAAATAGCTGATAGTGGGATTTTAATAGTAAGAAATGTACCTACATTTATTGTTATTACCACAATGAACATTGCTGATATTTAATATTTCTTCATGCCATCTAGAATGTGACTATGTGGTACCGTGAATGGAAGCAAACACATTTAGAAATGTGATGTTTTTATTACCTTTCCGGCAAAAATCTACTCCTTCCGTAGGCGAGATACCTATAACACTATTGTGGAAGTCCCTTTATAAATTGCCAATTTATTAGTATATTCTTACATATACAGCTTTGAGTTCGATTCAAAGTTCGGTCAATTTTGTACTTAACTGTAGGTATTCTATGAACCCCAAGATTCAAAAAATTACCACATGGATTGGACTCTACTACACCACTAGGCAAATCTCGACCAACTTGTTTTTTTTTTGCATTCTTGATTTTGTCAACAGTTTCTTTCACCAAGGATAAAAAGTAGCTGGTGTGTCATCCTAGAATACACTAGATTTCTAAGCTAAGTTTCATCAAAATCTATTCAGAAGTTCTTGCGTAAAAGGGTTACAAACATACATTCATACCTCATCAAACGTATTTATAAAATTATTAGGAGTACAATATACACCTAAGCTAATGTAGTATTGTTTACATATTGTTTCAGGAATTCAGGATGATTTGCCACAAATGTGGTACGGGACACTATCAAGATGAAGTCACTGCGCCCGAACGCTAAGTAATTATTACTAAACACATATCTCTATATTCTATTTCTCATTATCACTATCTATGGATTACTTCTATCTACTTTTATTTCATTCAAACATAAAACTTCTTTCAAATCTATCCTTCTTTGATGTAAGCGTGTTATAGGCAGTAATACCCGAATCTAATGCTTCTACGAATACTACATACACACTTATAAAATTATATTATTTAAACTTCTTTAGTGCCTAATAAAAAAACTAACACTGAACTTAACTAAGAACTAACATCATTCTGTCTCTATCCCAGGTTATTGTGGGATTTCTTTTTGTTCCATTCATTATTTTAAAAATTGTCATTTTACATTATAATTTCATCTAACTTTAAAGGCTCTGGGTATAAAATAAAAAAAACTAATTCTTATTCTATTATTTGTGACTTGAAACTAATAGTAAGGAATATGTTGATCCCTGAAGTAATCAGAAGTAAAAAGTATGAAAGTTATATATATATCTTTATTATAATAAATATATTTTCTTAAAAACCGTGTTTTATTTACTTATGACATCATCATCAACCTATAAGTGTCCATTACTGAGCGAAGGCATGTTCTCAGACGGCATGTTGTGAGTATTAAATACCACGCTTCTTCTAAATGGTGGTGAATCTGCGATTCCAAACTTATTCATCATTATCATCAGCCTATAAATGCCCACTGCTGAACAAAAGCCTCTTCTCCCAAGGAGAAGGCTTGAGCATTAGTCACCACGCTTGCTCATGTATGACTATAAACCATAGGTCCGGGTTTCATTACGATTTCTTCCTTCACCGTATGTCACTAGTTTATATATACTACTATATATACTAGATAGGAATACCCACTGTATATACTCGAGTATAACTCGGAAAAAGGCACATTAGTACTTGTCAAGTTTCAAACTTTTTGCATAAGCAGCGGGTACCATAACCAGTGGGTCTCCATTACAACCCATGTATCTACTTTTAATAACTTAAATGAAATATATTTTATCATCACACTACTATGTACTAATTATATTATCATTTTACCTAATAACGTTGAATGTAACTTTTTTCTTCAAAGATCATTAAAATGTTTAAACATTGGTTTTGCTAACACTTTCAATAATATCGACAGCGAAGCAGCGTCATCTGAAGTCGTTTCGAAGTTCAAATTGATAGTCTAACTAGATAATGATGAGGCAAAACCAAAACCAGGCCACAAAGCTAAAATAAAACTGTGAATGTTGAGTTTGGGAAGGTTGCCTTACAAAGACGAATTTCAGACACAAAGAGGCGGCATTACTCCGGCTCCCGCGGTAATCCGGATTGAGCCAGCAATTATAATACTTATCCTGTTCGGTATTTCATCTCGCCACAGTAAAGTGTACCCCCAAATTGTCCCGGTTTCAGTCGCGCCAGATAAAAAGAGATTCGCTTTTCAATAAGTGTGTATTATTAATGACTCATAATACTGTAAGTCACTATACCTGTGGAAGCTTGACAATTATGTAGGTTATTAAATATTTAACTGCCATTTACCGCATGTCAATTAGCTAATGTATCTTAATGCTCAAAGCAATAAATTATTTTATTAAGATAACGGCTATCTAAGTACATCATATACTAATTATTATAATAATCTAACCAAGTAACGCAACATCACGATGATAGAGAGGTCTAAAATTGAACCGAAGTTATTTACAACCAAAGTTTCAAACTTTCACTAGGGATGCTACTGATTATGACCGATTATAATAATAACTAATGTATTTTGAAGCCATAAGATATACGTTACAAATAACAACTAGGTACAAAGAAGACGAGTCTTGCCAACAATATTCTTTACAGGCGAAATGGCAGTCTTAAACAAACAGCGGTTTTAGCTTGGAGTATATGGGCTTAAGCCGGAGAATTGCGGCCAGACCCCGGAAATACACTCACTCGCTAAAGCCGGAAAGTTCGGCTAAAACCAGCGATGTGACAACCCTAGTAAGTAACAGTAGCGTTGTATATTGACATTAGGCTTTAGTTCACCGCGACACCGATACCGCGATAAGCTAATGAATTTTGGCCCAAACAAGTCGGCAGGGCTGCTGATAAATGAAACTTGTTGTTTATTGTACTAAACAAGTTGTTAACATAGTACGGTGCCAGCAACGTTATTGATAAATCATTGAAACTTAGGTCTTAGATAGCGAGCGATGTCGCCAGGTGGAAGCACAAATTTACTAGAATTATTTGCAAAATGTAACTTTATTGTTTCTGTATGGCTCAAGTTACCATTAAAGTGATACGACCAAACACTTCAACACGATTACACAAGTAGGTAGTTATGTAGGCTCTTTTAGTCCGGTATTCGCTCGGTTTGCCATCAACGCCCAAACTGCAGTTACGATAGTCCCCAATCTTTCTCCGATGTACAAAGTTAGGACAAATTATTGTAGATAGAGTTTTTCAAGGAAAGACGGCCAATTATATTTATTAGGCTTACCTACTACATACAAATGCTAAAGTTGTTCCGTATAAATACTTTAATACCTAAGTTTGTTTTTCTTATACGGACAAACTGATTGCATAAAGGACGCATGGATATAGATATTACGCCTACAAGAAAGGTGAATGAATGTAGGTAACGAAATTAGCTATTATGGAGATTCCGTGAACACCAACAAATAATCGATACAAGACCCGATCAATCAACCCTTGGTTATTTGAAAGACCGCAAATGAACAAGAATAAGATTTTTGATTAGGTAGCAGCAAGCTAGTGTAATTATTATTCTGATAAGCTACGAACTCATCAATCAAAGTACTTCGCCGGCTGCCTCCGCCCGTCTCCTCCAATCTTTAGACTGTAAGCCTTTACTCGCGTATAATATATCGCCTGTGTACACAATGCTTATAATTTTGGTGTTGCCACACTGAAACAGATTGAATAAATTGCCCCGCCTCTGCATAATTTTATGTGTATGAAGAATAAAATAAAAATCTGACGGCATATTTTTCTTCTGTCTTATGTACTTCAGTCACAATTTTGCTACATTGTAAACTAGTACCTAAGTAATTCTACTTCACTACACAGTATAAATATGTATAATATGTCTCTGTCACTATATCGGTATGCTTAAACATTAAAACTACTCAACGGATTCTGATGCGGTTTTTTATTAGACAGAGTGATTGAAGAGAGATTAAGTTTATTTACTCGTATAATATATACTGACATCCATTAAATAGTAATGAAATTTAGTATCAGCACCTTGCACCCGTGCGAAACCGGAGCGGGTCGCTAGTTTATAATAATGTACAATCATAAAAATGTTTGTCGAAAAACTGAAAATCCCTTACCTAGTTTAAAAAATAACATCTGTGCAATTCAAAACTACTTAATCATAATATTTCTTTAACATTTTAAACTCTGACCTCGTGCTAATAAACTTTGGTTCGTTTAATTAAACCTTCATGCCTCGCAAAATGTTAAACGCTCAAGTTAAATTAAATTCACCATCGACGTTTCATATTTTGCACAGAAATAATGTAATTACCTTAAATTGGAAGAGATCTCGAACGTTTACGAATTAATTTACCAACTTTCGAATAGATTTGACGATTTTATTGTATTTGTTAAGTTTTGTACCTAAGCGCTTGGATCTCATCAAGTTTGCTGTTTACGTTCCTAGAAAGGAACCTGGATACTTAGCAAACTTTTTAAAAAACGTTATCCTTGATATTCGATAAAAATATAGATAATCATATCACATTATATGTTGAAAAAACATGTCGGAATATCTATAAGCCACCTCTACAAATCCAAAGTGGCTCTAACCACATAACATAACAAAAAATTACATCATTCTTAAAAAAATTGTAGGTTGTTCTGTCTGAAATTTAGCCTATACTTAATGGTTATGCGATACAAATAATCCTATAATATTACTTAAATCTTACGAACTATTTGACTTACCTACCATTGTCACATACAACATACGAGTATGCATCAGTGTTATTTGGCACCATTTTTATTTGAATGGACTTTTGCAGGCAGCTTTCTCTTGGTTCACTGGACAATGGCAGACGCAGATGGCTCCCAGCCAACCATAGAGTTTAAACACCACATGCATCAAACCGCTACTATTTGTTATATTGACTTCGGTACCTGTTATATTGAAAACTTTAACAACAGTAGGTTCATTCAATAAATTAAAATATTAACGATAAAATATGATAAAACTTGAGATAATAGAACAGAGATCAGAGCTAGGTACTGCCACAGGAATATTAAATCAAATCATTATTTTATTATATCTATACTGAGATTAACGTTGTTATGGTGGCCCCGAGGTTACGGCGCCCGCTTCTCAACCATGAAGTGTGGGTTCGAAACCTGGCAACTGGCAAGTACCAATGTGACTTTTTCCGAGTTATACGTACTTTCTATGATTATTTAGACACCACTGACATACGGTGAAAGTAAACATCGTGAGGAAACCTGGACTTATAATTTCTAATTATAAGTTTGAAATCACCAACCCGCATTGAGCAAGCGTGGTGATTAATGCTCAAACCATCTCCTTGTGAGAAGAGGCCTTTGCTCAGCAGTGGGCACTTATAGGCTGATGATGATGATACTGAGATTATTAAGGTAATATAAGTAAGAGATATTTAATTTTGAAAACTTATTTTTTTGTTTTTATTTAGTGTGGTTTTAAGAAGTACGTTACACACTAACATTTATCCTGTAGGTATCATGGTTTCGTTTAAAAAATATCACATACACATCACAGTAGTTCCGTACAGCAATCGAACCCTCGATACGTTGCATGATAGCAGAATGCCCAGCCGCCACGTCAACAGTAGGTAATCTGCAATACATTTTCATATATTTTTTATTGACTAGCAAACAACGAAACAAGGTATATTTTCATGTCTTTAAATAATAACAGATATAATCTTGTACTACTTGTACAATAAAAATGCACATTGGTTTGTTTCTAAGTAGGTAGGCTTAAAA